AACATCATCGAGGAAGTTGCCTCACCTACTTAAGATACTAACGTCGTTAAGAATTTGATAAATGCGTACAGCTCATTGGCTGATTTCGACTATATGCTTTCGTTTATTAAAGGAGGCCACTGAAAGAACTCCTTTGAAAATAAACCACTAATTTCTAGGGGACAGAAGTCCTTGGGAGCAATACTGCTGCAACATCTGAGGATCCGTGCTCTAAGGTATTGTTACCTTCTGTTCATTGCTTTCCCCGACATGCCCGTTGGGTTACATTAATCTCAATGTAATAAAGAACTCTATTCTGAGCATTTAAATGGGTGAGGCAGGACTCCTCCTTGACAGCAGCTTGTCAGTTAAGACTTTAACCATGGGTCTGTCTTATTTATTCCCTGACCACCTCCAAGAAGGACCGAGGAGGGTTGACTGTTTCCCGAAGGCCAGAAACCCTTCCTCGTCCCATTTCCTCGTTGCTTCCCGAGGTCTCAGTGGACTTGTTGCCCTGACCACCACAGAATCTCAGCCTAGGAACTTGGATGAGTCCCTCTCACAGTGCCTCTTTTCAGCCAAGAAGAGCGGGCGGTTTGGGGAAGAGCTGTCTTGGCCAGGCCTCTGGTTCCTGGACCTGCTCCCCCGTCTCTGTCTTTATGCCAACCAAGCAGACAGAGTGTGTTTACTAAACTCCTGTTCAGGCCACACACCACGAACACCACATCCTGGAGATGCAGCCGGACTGCAGCGCCGCCGTGGCCAACGCGCTCCATCCACAGACCACCGTGAGCTGAAACCCTTCAGCCAAGCTTTCTGACCATGACAAACGATTATTATAATCCTCTGCTGGGAGCTGAGGGGGAAGAGCTCTGAGTTTAGATATATTTAGAAATATAGCTAAAGCTGATTCTGCTTTAAGCCTTTCCCCTGGCTTTTGAATTCTGTTAAGGTACTGGGAAATAAAGTTAATCACCTTGCAGGTTAGTGCAGGCTGCGTCAAGAACACTTTTATGTCCTGCTGCCCAGGCCGTTCTTCGGTTTTACAGCTCGCCGGGAGCCTGCGTCGGGCCCGGGGCGTCCCATCTCCTCCCGCGCCTGTGGGGAGCCCAGGGCAGCAGGTGGGCCCCAGCAGAGAGTCACGGTCTTCCCGATCAGATGGCGGGGTGTTTGGGGGCACATCTGATTCTGTCCTGGTGCCAAAGGGCAAAGTCCTCTCTCCTGAGTAAAGACAGCACACCCACACCCCCAAGTCCTTAGCTGGAGTCAGATGGCTCCTGTCTGCTGGGGAAGGGCCGCCCTCTGGGGAAATGAACCTAGTTACTCAGGGCCTCCCTGGTCACAGGTGGTGACAAAGAGTACCAAAGAATTTTCAGAAAGAATTGGCCTTTCTCATGACAGGCTCTTAGGCCAAGAATGGAGGTGCCCAGAACACCCTGAGCATCTCCAGGTCCAGGCCCGGGAGCAGATTCCAGACACTCCTCCAGGAACCGTGCCTGAGAGCCGGCCCAGGACAGAAGCAGCCCTTTGACCACGGAGCTGAGCCGCCAGCTCCTGCCCCTGCAGCAGCCTCAGCTGCAGGACAGACACACTTCCGAGAGGCAAAGCAGAGGGTGCTTCCCTGCACCCCGGGCTCCGGCCTCCGGGGATGCCACAGGACAGCTTCGGGAAGAGTGGCCACATGTCCTGAGGGGACCTGCAACCCTCGGGGCTCTGGCCTCCTTCAGACTCCAGAGAGTCAGCCGAACTCTGTGCCCCACCCCACATCCAACATTCACGCATAATAAATCAAACCTCACTGTGATCAGTCCTTGCAAGACACCCCGCAAATTACCTGAAAATCAGCCTGAGAACCAGAGCGATCAGCTGTACCCTCTGTGGGCAGAGCGTGACTCAGGCTCCCTGCTGCGGACTCAGGCTCCCAGGTCTGATCAGCACTTGCCCCCTGTGCGATGGGACAGGCACAAACGCACTCCCAGCGCCCCTGATGGGCAAGGCCCAGGAATCCTTACATGGACGCAGATGGCTCTGGATGAAGATTTGTTCACTTACAAGCTCCATTCTGGTTTTCAAACTCTGCATGTCATTTCCAGAGGAATGCAAGGCACTTGATACACCTCTGAGGGCCAGGCAAAATGATGCAAAATCATCTCAGGAATGCAGAGAATCATTTTAGAATTGAGCTCTAGGGGCAGGGTCTCAAGATGGACTTACCACATCTCCACTGTGTTTAGGTTCCCGGGAGGACCACAAAGCACTGCCGGTCTGTTCTTGGTACTTTCTGTGCCTGTGAACCATCCTGGATACCTTAGAAGCTCTTGTGGCTCTTGGTGACCAAGAAGGGACCCCCAGAGACCCAGTCTGGTGGTGGTGGCCAGTGTGGGCCTAGGATGGGGGCGGTGGTCTTGGAGGGAGGCAGGAGTGGCAGGAGGCTGGAGTGATGGCAGAACGGGAGTAATGGGGAAGCTCTGGGGTTCAGGCTGGCTTTGAAACCTCCACTCAGTTTGGATGAAGCAGGCAGTGCTGGGGCCTCGAGGGGTGATGCTGTCCATCACCACAGTGGACCCAAACTGTGGCACTTCCTGGAGAACCATGGATGCGCCGGGATGGGGGATGGGGAATGGGAAGGGTCCAGGGCCAAATTCACCACCTGCATGTTGCTGTCTCCCAGCGCAGGGCCAGTTCTAAAGGATACTTTCCGCCTACATGTCTTGCTGTTTCCTGCATCCCCTAAGCAATCTGCGTCGTGTCATCTAAGAACTCGCTGCTTCATCATTTATCTTTGAATTACTTTGGAGGCAGGCGGCTCCACAGCTCTCCCCAACCAGCTCATGCTGAGTACGTGGGGCTCCTTCGACCCTGCCCTCGTGTGTGTGTGAACATCACCGCAACGCAAAGCTCAGACCAAAGTAAACACGTGCTGCAGTTGCGTTTCAAGGACCCCTTCCTATTTACATGTATCAATCATTTAAATAAAACCAAAGGTTAGAAATGAAGAATCCCCTGTCTAAAAGGAGAGAAGGGAAAATAAGAATGGGAAGCTTTACACACATGCTCTGCAGGTCACAGTACATGCTGTGCTCAAGGTAATTTTCCAGCTCTAAATTCAGCATCTTCTAGGCTCTATGTCTGGGATTCATGCAACCCTCAAGTGCCAGAAAATGCCAAAGCTCATCAAGGAAGCAAGAAAAGAGGGGCCCTCCTGAGAGCAGCCCACCCAGAGTCTTGAGCCAGGGTCCCGTCCTCTCGCTGCACCAGTTTTTACAGCCAAGGTGCAGGTGTAATGTCATCAGTACTTTTGACGTCCATGTACAGCTAGCTGGCCCCATGGGTGAGGTAGTCCAGTGAGGGGTCTCTCAGTGAGAAAGACTTAAATTTCATTATTGTCAACATCAAAACATCAGAGATGTACCCCAAATGACCCTAATTCCCACGAGAATCTATGATGTGCTCATCAACCAGTGACTCATCACAACTGTTCCCGAATTTCTATGCTCTGTTGGCATCGCTATACTTGTGAGTCCAGACACAGGAGGTACTGTCCTGCCTGTGAGGTGATGCTTCGTGCTGCAGACAGTGAGATGGATCAGTGGCCTGGCCTTCCCCGTGGCCACATCCAGGGACGCCTGTAGTGAGACTGGTGTCTATCATGGACCAGGGCATGTTCAGCTAAGTGTGTCTAGGCTCTGGGCAGGCTGGACTCAGCCTTCAGAGGCACAGCCACGGAAGCCACGGGCCACTGCACAGAAGCAAGAGCTCCTGGGACTGCACCTTTTGTTTGGTCCTCGGGATGTCATAGGACCTGTGCAGAGCCTCAATCTCAGAAGGGAGGGGAAAGAAAAGACCAACCATGCTTTTAGGGGCTATGTCCTTACAGCTTTAGATACATCATCTAAAAGCAAAAAGATCACGCATTTGCAAACGTAATTTGAGGTGAGCATGAGGCCAGAGGGAAGAATGTAACACACCCTGGGATTTTAACTCTGGACTCCCAGGCACTGTGTGGGCTCTGCCCTTGGACAATCAACGCACGGGTTTCTCTGCTCCAGACAGATAATCACAAAATCAAGATACTAATTACTGAGACAATGCATAAACGATAACTGCAAAAAATCCATCTAATACACTCCAGGGAACAGAACAGATATGATGCATTTGTTCATCTATCCACCAAAACAAGCTGAGATCAGTGACTCAACTCCAGCATGCATTCTGGAGGAAGAAAAATAGATCAGAGATCTGATTTGTCTTGGCTGCACCCGATCATTAATATTTATACAGAATTGTTTAGATCCAGAAGTTGCAAAACAGCTCTCAGAAGCTACAATCAGCATATCAAATATGGAGAGGGAGATAGAGATGGGGCAGGAGAGATCGGAGGGAGGAGGAAGGAGGGGAGGGAGGGAGAGAGAAGGGGGAGGGGAGGGGGAAAGTGATCACTCCAGACCATTAAGCTGTGTTGCATGTTTTCCTGATACAGGTTAAAATATATCCATCTGATATATCAGGCCATCCTTCTAGTCATGTTTATACTCCATTTCTGCAAAGTCAGTGCCATTCCCGCGCCTGGTGGGGCTCCTGCAGCCTAGCCGCTCCCTCACCATAACCCTGGGGGGAGAGGTGGGCCTAGTCCAAATCCTTCCCACCCCCTCGCCCCCTTGGTAGCATCTTTCTTCCCAGGTGGTCCCATCGCTCCTGCTTCTCCACACCTCCTGGGGCTGGAACAGGCTTTGCCAGGTCCTCCTCTGTGACTCCAGCAGAGTTCATGTCTTCAGTACTTAGTTACCCTGCCAAACCAGATGATAACTCCACCTGTTAGAGGACCCGTGACTCTCACGTATGAAGTTGGGTCTTGTGCTAATTCTGAATCTGCTAGTGCTTACAGACGCAGTCACCGGGCGGTACTCAACTTACTATAAAGCAGGGGGCATCGGAGAATAATGAACTTGAGGATCAAAGAGGTGCATGGTGACATACATAAAACATTTCCTCCAGACCTATGGGTGATTATAAACCACACCACTCAGTGTGTGGAGGACACGGGGTCCAGTTTTATGTAATGCATCTGTTCTAAGCACACAACTTTGAAAAAAAAATGAGCATTTCCAAAATCTGTCTGTTTGTGACAAGGTTTAGGTAAGAGAACGTGGAAATGCCGGTCTCTCTGGTGAGATGAATGGTTAGAGATGGACAGGTGACAGCTCCTAAAAGCATCTGAGGCATCTGCCACTCAAGGCTTTGTTGTAACTAAGCTCCTGGCGGATGGGAGGGCGGATGGGAGGGCGGAGGGAGGTGAACGGCCCGTCTCGCTCGCTGCATCTGTCTCATGCGACCCCAAGGCTGCGCACCAGAAATCCACAGAGGCCCCGCAGTGCCTGACACACGTGTCTGCTTGCTTCCTCGTGAAAGGCTTTTCTGCTCTGAGTTGACTCTATTCCAGAGCATGCTGCTTCCGTGCCGTGTCCTCTGACCACCCTTTATGCTGTTGTATTTCCCGCCCTTATTCTCTGGCTTAAAACGCTCAGCTAATAGACAGACTCCAGTTTGCGTTCAAGACTCTCCGGCCCTGCCCTGTCTTCCCTGGCCCCCCAGGTCACCTCTGTCTCTGTTGCTTCCTCCTGGGGGGAGCCTTCAGCCTACGACTGGTGGCAGCCCCTCCTTGGTGGGCAGCTCAGAGGAGGGAGCTCGGCACTGTCTCCAGGGTGCCCAGAGGAGGAGGGGTTCGTGCTGGCTGCTCACCGACCTGCGTATGGCGCGTGCCCAGAGCATTTAGCAGCTTGACTCGATATTGAGTCGTGGTGACTCCTCCCAGCTGGGTCTGGACACCCTCAAGAGATGCCACGTTTATAAGCCACATGGTTCGTCTTTACGAAATGACTGAACAGAGCACGGGTGTGCAGGTCTCTGCATCAGACACACGCGCAGCCGGGACTCGGCGAGCCCCGCGAAGGGCCAGGCCCGGGGCTTTCCATCCTTTATTCACGAGGCGATGCCACTTCTGAGTCTGAATAAGGCTCCCATGGGCTTTGTTCTCTTTGTCCCATTGCACTAGGCCACTCACGCAAAGAGCCAGGGTGAGTTCCTGTCAGCGCTGGAAGGAACGGGAATTCAAGTGACAGAAAATCTAAGTTCCTCAAGCCAGCCTTCAATTTTCTAATTAAGAAACATTCCTGTTGTGAGAGGAACACGGTCCCTGTAGAAGAAATAGAGATTTCTTCTTCTAACGATACCACTAGTGATCCTTCTGCAGAAGACAGCTACAGACCCTTTAGGAAATACTAAAGCATACTTTGAAACGCTGGTGCTATTCATAAAATTCATAATCTGACGCTTAATTCCCTTTTCTCATTTAATTATAGTTATAATAATGCAGTTAAGAAAGGAAAGAAACATTTTAGGAAGTGAAATCAAGACATAATAGATGCTCAAATGTAGAAGATGCCTGAGGCCGACGTAGTGCACGGAGCCCTCAGGCCTCCCGCCAGCGGGAGCTCCAGACCCAGGGCCTCGGGGCAGCGGATGTGGGCTGGGGAGTCGGGGAGTGTCTTCCAGCTCCAGTCTCAAGCTCACACCTGCCCCGCTGGTGAAGGTGCCCAGGTAAGCGCCCGATCCCGTCTAGAAGGCTTCTCTTCCTCACTGTAACACGCTCCAAGCAGGTGGGGACAAGATTTAGAAGCGAGAACCGTGCTTTTCTATTTTTGTTTGCAGATAAAAGTCAAATTTATGTTGCAGGAAATTTGATTTTAAGTGTTAGAAGCATTGATATTTGCATCATGTATCCATACTTGCTACCTCTCTGATTTCTGTGTTATTTAATCCCTTGAAACTTCAGTCTTTTCGTCCATAAAAATGGGGATAATAAATTCCCACCTTCAGACTCATTGCCAAGATTAAATAAGATAAAGTGGGCACATCAACTAGCTCACAGCCATCGCGCAGCAAATCTGGGGTCCTTTCTATCTTCCACATCGTTCAGAGCATCGTTTTCTGGGTGGGCCCACCAAAACCACACACAACACCTTCCTCTATAAAAAGTGTATAAAACTTGCCTGCATTGGGAGCTGGGTCAAATGATTAGCACTGGAGTAAAATGAAGCTGTGGACAAACGCTGCCCTCAGGCCTCCACACTAAGGCCGGGGGCCAGCCCCACCGCCAGCAGGTCTGGCCTTAGGATGCCATCGCCCTCACTGACCCCTGATCCCATGGCCACAAAGTGACGTGATGGCAGTGCCCTGTCACGGACTTCCCATGAGATCACGCGTGTGCAACTGCTCAGACTACGGCAGCATCAGGAGCGGGGGGAGGGCTTTTCCAAAGCCGTTTCCACGCCCCCTCCCCACCCCCCAGTGGCTCTGATGTAGCGGGTTGGTGGGCCAGACAACTCGCCTTTCTAACTGAGCTGGGGGTGTCGACACTGCTGGCCAGGGCCACCCAAGAAGGCAGGTGTGCGGTGTTCAACGCAGGCCAGGGCCCAGAGGTGCCTGTGATGCCCACCTCTCTGACACTTTTACCACCACTGTTACTGCTACTTGAGGCCTTTTGCGAATCATAAAATCTGTTGGAGAAAAGATCCCACGTCTCCTTCCAGGTGTCCCTTGACCTGGGGACCCACGTGTGTGCCGACAATTCCGGTTTCCTTTGTCTACAGTCAGGCTGAAGAGGCCCGAACAGAAGGCCTGGCGGGCTCAAGGCTGGGCTGAAGCACCATGTGCCAGGGGCTGCCAGTCTCCTGGGCCTGCAGTGCAGTCCAGAACCACGCTGACCCTGAAGGCACGCGCCTGCCAGGGTCTCAGCCGCGAGTTCCCGTGGAGATGTGTCCACCGAGGGGTCCACGCTCACAGCACAAGAAAAAGAGGGGCTGAGAGCCGGGGACCCCAGAGCCCCTTCTCTTATTCCAACAGCAAAGGCAACCCCGCAGGCCTCAAAATGCTGGCTCTTCACCCCTGAGAATGTGACCAGCGGCCTCCACGGAGACTGTTTCACTTGCCGTTAACAGATGATCAGAATCCTTTCCCATCAAACGTATTAAACATCCTGACTCATCAGGCCCGAGTCTAGAAGGTTCTTAAGGTGTGAAGGGTAACGTTACTTTCTGAGAAGAAGGACCTCGTGCCAGACTCCTCTACTGTGGCTGGATTTTTATTATATTTACCATATTTTAGACAAGGATGCTGTGCACGGCTTGCCCTGCCCCAGAGACAGGCCTCCCCCAGGGTACGTGGAGAAGCCAAGACCAGGGATGACTTCTGCATCCCGGCTTGTAGACAACCTTTCCTGGGCACCCCCCACACCCAGCCCCCGCTTATACAGGCCTCACCTGGCCTCTGCCGGCAGGTGACAAGTGATACCAATGTCCACTTGCATCTCTCTGAACAGGGAGCATCTGCCCTGTGGAATCCGTGGTAAAAATATTAGTCATGTTCTACAACTTGGCAATCAGAACACAGCTCTGGCTTGGAGGGCACGCCCTGGGGGTGATGGGGTTTGTCAGTAGGCCAGGCTGGGAGGCTGGGAGTGGGCTGCCCCCTTCACCCCTCGATGTGTCAAGACTGGGATGCAGGGGGAGGCTGACGTTACACTTGGGCCCTGGTTCTCTGGGCTCTGTCCTCCTGAGCTTCCTTCTCCTGGAGAAACCCTCTTGCCTGTTTGCAGCGCGTTAACCCAGGCTCAGGGCGCAGCTGACACGGGGCGCTGGGCTCTGGGCCTCGGGTCTTCTGGGGACACCATCTGCACATCGAGGGCATCTGTCTGGGTCCCGCTGTGCGTCCCGATCCTTGGTGCACGCAGCGACCGCGGCCACTGCTTGGGTCTGGGAGATCCCGGCCTCGCTCCACCCACAGCTGCTCAGGCCCCTGACAGCCTGGAGTCTTGCCCTGCAGCCTCGGCTTGTGCCCCCAGAGCAGAGGCCTCTGGCATGTGTGGGACAAGGTCACAAAAGAGAAGCTCAGACAGATCCTCCAGGTCAAAGCTGGGCGTGAAACAGCCACCTGACCCAACCCCAGCGGTGCAGGACGGTCCCCAACACCCCTCCCCGTACCCGTCCATCCTCCAGAGACGGGACCTCAAGCAGCGGCCCCGCCATGTCCCCCTGGAAGGGCCTCTGGGGCCTCTCAGTGTCTCTGTGAAGAGGTGCCTGCCCTCAGGGGGCCACCAGTGGGTCCTCTTCTCCCCCTGCTCCTCGTGGGGTCAGGAAAAGGGGGTCAGGGGACACGGGAACACGCATAAAGGGACTCTCCACTCACCCAACAAACCGAATCAGTACAGACAATGGCAAGAAGCAGTGAGAGGCCAGGGGTCTGTTCTCAAGCCCAGAGGAATCAGTGCTTCAAGCGTGAGACCTGGCCAGTAGGCCCGAGAGCCCTGGATGCTGGAGAGGGAGCCTGGTGCCCTGAGGATGCGGTGGGCTCTGGGGCCAGCAGAAGGGGCTGCCTTTATCTCCCGTCTGGTGGGGATAACGGGTGATGCTGAAACTCATGCTTTAATTGGCAAGTACACATCTTCCTTTGATTAATAAAAATGGGAATGTAGATCATTTCTGAATGAAGGCTCCCCATTTGCTAGAGGAAATCTTTCAAAACCTGGGCTCCGTGAAGGCACATGGAGGACGTTTGCTGTGAAAAAGGGCTGGGAATCGACGCCCTTAAAGCACGGAGGGCATGGTTATCCACCAAGACAGTCTGTTTCCTCCAGAACCTTAGTTTGGGATAAGCACACAGGCACTGCAAGACTGGACTCTATTTTACGTGTGAGCCTTTCACAAAGAAAACCAAACCCGCTTTGCCTCCATTCCCAGTATGTACCAAGTCCGCTCCCAACATGGGCTCAGTCCCGCTGGTGTGGAGGCCGGGCTCCCAACCCGCTGCTTTCCCAGTGGCCGCTGTCAGAGGATGCGTCCTGGGCCTGATGGGGTGAGGCTGGGTACCCCTCCCCTGTCCCCCCAGATGGCCCTCCGCCCCCGAGCAGGCTCTCCTCGATGGCCTGGGTGCACCAGCCGCGTGCGCGTGATCCACGGGGAGGCCTTACCTCGTGGGACAGGTAGAAGGCGGCGATGCCCAGGGGCCAGAAGCAGCAGAGCATGGAGAAGACGCTAAGGCCCAGGTGGTCCCGCGGGGGCATCACGAGGAAGTTGTCCTCGCTCTCTGTGTCACTGGAGTAGTCGCTCTGCCGGGAGAGATGGGGATGGAGAGCGAGGTTACCAGGGGTCTCTCCATCATCCCCCGAAGTGGGGCTCAGGCCTGGCAAGCCCTCCTGGCAAGTGTGTGTCCCCCACAGGAAGAGAAAAACCCCAAGGATGGGCTCTGGGTTGCTCCACGGGAGATTAAACCTCACAGACCCGCGGATCTCTGGGATGGGGTGTGGACAGCTGGGTGAAGGTTTGACCATCAGAGGACGGGGCTGGGTGGGAAGCGCACAGGCAGAGTTGGAGTCCACTCTTTGTTCCAAGACTTCAAGCTGGTTTTAGGGTGAGGCAGGGCAGGTGTTGGGGCCGGGACCTGCTCTGAACCCCCTTCTTGCCTTAGACTCTGATCTGAGTAAGGACGTCACTGGGCCTGGTCTCAAGCCTGGATGTCCCTCCTGTTTTGGTTAATCAAACACATGTAAAACTGCCAATCAGAGCCTCTACTCAGCCTGTGCTAGAAGCTTCCTGCTGGACTGTTTGTGTCTCATGTGAGAGAAAACAGGTGAATTTGGAGGGGCTCACCCCAATCACAAACAGGGACTTTCTCTAGGGGCCCAGGATGGAAGTGGGTGATGCACTGTCCACACAGTACCCAGCTGCCCTCCGCATGCGCGCGCGCGCACACACACACACAGACACACACACAGACACAGACACGCGGACACAGAGACACACACACAGACACACAGACACACACACGGACACACAAACACACACACACACAGACACACACACAGATACAGACACGCTGACACAGAGACACACACACAGATACACAGACACACACACAGACACACACAGATACACACACACAGACACACAGAGACACACACAGACACACACAGATACAGACACGCGGACACAGAGACACACACACAGATACACAGACACACACGGACACACAAACACACACAGACACACCCACAGATACACACGCATGGACACACACACACACAGGCACACAAATACACACACAGACACACACAGACACACACAGATACACACACAGAGACACACAGAGACACACACACAGATACAGACACGCGGACACAGAGACACACACACAGATACACAGACACACACACAGACACACAAACACACACAGACACACCCACAGATACACACGCATGGACACACACACAGACACACAAATACACACACAGACACACACAGACTCACACACAGACACACACATACACACAGACACACACAAACACACACAGACACAAACACACACAGACACACACATACACACACATACACACAAACACACACAGACACACACACACAGAGACACACACATGCATGGGTCCCAATCCCAGGCATCCCTTCCCAGTGAGGACCAGCTCTTTCCTGCAGGGCAGGCTCTTGCCCTGGTTGGTCACCATCCCTGCGGTCATCTTTCCAGGACCCTGCAGCCTCCCCTCGGCTGGGCCAGGTCTGCGGAATTCCTGTCTTTCCTCTGCAGCATCACCTCTCAAACAATAAAGGGAAAGGGAAAGGCCCATCCTCACTGCTGCAGAGAGGGAACGAGCAGCCTTCAGGGAGGCATCTCGCTCGGTGGGATCTGGGGACTGAGGACTGAGGGGCAGACGCACATCTGCCGGCCCGCAGGGAGGCCAGAACCTTCAATCCAGGTGAAGGAGGCCAGGCAGGGTCACCAGGACGAGCTGCCCAGGAGGCCCACGGTGTCCACTCTGGGAGCACAGCGCTCGGAGTCTCAGGCTGGGCTGGAACAGCCGATCTGCCCTGATGGCCCTCTGCACAGGGTCTGGGGAGGGGACCCTGAAGCGACAGTTGCAGGGCGGGATCCGAGGCCCCCGAGAGACACGGAGGATGGGGCCGAAGGACAGACCCCCCGGCAGATGTGCGTCATTCGACGGGTCTGGATGCACCCAAGCCACAGCTCTGTCTGTGGGCACTTGTTCAGGCTTTTGGCTTCGGTGGAGTTTTTCGGTTTTGTTTTCGTTTACTAAGGGTTTAAACACCTGGGCTGGCTGGAATCTTACTCCAAATCTGGAAATAGCTGCTGTGGCTATTTCTCTTGTCATTTCTACTTTACAAAGGACACTGCTGGGATCTGGGCGGTTACAGTGTCCCCAGACTACAGAACCGTCTGGCCAGTGGCCGCTTACTGCAGACTTCTGTGCTGTCAGCTGTCTGGACACCAGCGTCTGGCCACCAATCAACCCCACTGCCCTTAGTTGCTTCTTGCCTAAAGCTGGGGTGTCCTCTCTGTACCCCTTGGCCCTGGGATTTTGACAACCACTTCTCGACTGGTCTGTTGGTGGCCAGTGGCCAGGGTGGTCAGTGGCAAGTTCCCCAATCAGAGAGCAGTGTGGTGAGGGCTGAGGCCACAAACCACACAGGGCTTTCGGGGCGTCGACCCCCATCTTTGCAAACAGCTTCAGATGATGCCACCATGCCTGTGAAGCAAAGGCTCCCCCCCAAAGTCTTCACAGAGTTTTCTTTAGAGCATAAGGGAACCACATCTGTAAACTGCAAAGTTGTGGCTACATGGCACCAAAATAACTAGTCAATTTCCATTAAAATAGGTTTTTAAAAATTCAGACAAATGACAGGGCAGACAAAAACAGCCCAGCCCTCTGTACCATCTCCCTCCCATCCACGGCAGTGCTGTGGGTACAAGTGGCCGTGGGCATCGCACCAACAGAAAGAGGAGAGGAGAGGAGGACCCTGGGGGCGGGTGGCGACGGAGACACCATCAAACCAAGTAGAGAAAACACACCACGCACAGCAGCTGTTTCTGAAAATCCTCTTCATGGGGCATTAGCTTAGAATATCTGCAAGGCAGGGTGGACGCTTCCAGAGGTGTTCACAGTTCACGTGGTTGAAGGAACATATGCTATGGGGGGTAGAGCAGTACAGGGGCTGCTGTCCTCCTCCCCCAGCCCACCACTGCCCACACAGTCTGCCCTTGTCCATGACCTCCACGCAGGGAGCTGGCTCTCTGTCCCCTGGGGTTTCTTCCTCGGGAAGATTAAATAGGATAATCATAGCACCAGGCAGGACGCACATCAGCCCTGTGAGCACAGCCCCGAGGGTGAAGGGGTGCAGGGGCTTGGCCTTGTCCCTCGTCTCTCTCAAGGTCTCACTGTCCCCTTGCTACTGCCTGGCTCCCTGGAGCCCCACTCCCTCCTCATCCCCTGGCCTTCACTGCTGGCTAATTCTGGGGAGCATCTCTGCGTGGCCTGGGTGGGGGCGGCGGGTGGAGACCAGGATGGACTCGGGATCGGGATGCCCTGTGGAGCCTGCACGGTATGTTCCCGACAACACCGCTTCAAAAATGCAAAATCACAGAGGACTCTACGTGGTCATGGAAAATGATGACGTAGATGTTTATTCATTGCCCTGGAAAGATGCTTGTAATAACCGAGGGAAAAACCAGGGTAGAAAGTGGAAGAAGTCATATTTCCTCCAGAAAGTCAGAAATTAAGATGCTTCTGGATGGCGGGCATATCAGTGCTTTTTGTTTTTTTTTCTTTTTGCATTTCTGGGGTATAGCTTTTCTACAATAAGCAAGGTTACTGGGCAGTGAAACTCACCAAGACACAGACGTGCTGACCGGTGGGGGGTGCCCCCGCCCTCTGCCCTCCCTGGAGTGGGATGCCTCAGGGCTTCCCTGAGGCCCTGCTTGGAGACATTGCGTCGGGGGCCCAAGGAGCAGTTGGTAGAGCAGGATGGGAACTCAGCACAGCACCCAGGCTCCCTGAGATGCAGGTCAGACCCACCAGGTCACTGAGAGTCAAGATCAGAGGCCTCAGCCCACGGAGCCCATGTCTGTGTTGACCAGCAAGGCACCACCGCCCCACAGAGCTACTTAAATTACCCAAATCAAAGATGCCCGACGTAGTTCCTCAGCCACCCTACCACCTGCCAGGGCCTCAGGTGGCACAGGTGGCCAGTGTCCATCACACGGGACAGCACACAGACTGCACATAGCAGGTACCAACAGCACACGTGTTGAATGCATGAAGAATTCCCAGTGCCCTTAGCCGACATGGACAGCACCTGAGAAGAAGCCAGGCTCCAGGGTTTGCCCAGAGCGCGTGGGAGGAACCGGGCCCTCATTCCTCGTGGGCAGCCAGTCCCGCTGCCCCAGGCTCCTCTCCTTCCTGTGAGCCCTAGGGTCCTAGCCGTCCACTCAGGTGGGACCACAGTGGGGGGATGGTGACTCAGTCAGGTTCAAGGCTGTCTCACCCAGGGCAGCTGATGGACAGAACCGAGGACAAAGGCAGGTGGACGCAGCCCCCCATCCTCCTCGTGTCGGTCACAGGCCCTCCAGATGTTCTGGGGCTGCAACATCCCGTCCACGTCAGAGGAGCGAGGAGTATGGGTGAGTGCCGCTGACACCTGGAGCTTCCACAGGCACAGATGGAAGTGCCTCTCCTGACCACTGTCTGGGTTGTGAGCCCTGAAGTCCTTGCAGGGAGGGTGCTGGGCCATACTCCCTCACCTGCACTGTTGGGGTAGCCCCACTGGTCCACTTGTGTCCACTTGGGGGTCTTCCGTGGGCAAGTGAGCTGTGGAAGACCAGATCCCTCAGCGCTCGGCAGAATCCTCTGGCCCAGGCTCCCCTGGCACCTCAGGCCCACTGGCCTCTCCTTTACCCACAATCAGATCAATCAAAACCAGACTCTGCTGGGGACCCACTCCGTGTATTTCACACGGGGTCATAGATGCAAAGAAGTGCAGGGGTCTGGGGGCTCAACAGCATGGAACCTGGGGGACATATTTTAGTATCTAAACACGCTGCACCCTAAATTCTACAGGGGGGCTGTTACTCAACTTTCCTGAATTAATTTAAACACCATTTTCTCACTAGCTATGGTCTTCAATCCGATGGTTGGGTTACAATGATAGGCTCCCTCTAAGACTTGCCCTTCTTCTGATCTGGAAGTGCTCGGGGGTCCTGAGGACAGTCCTACAAAACGTTCTCAGGGCCCATCTTAGTTTAGTT